CAGAGTTAACTTTGAAAGACAGGGCCAAGCTCACAGGGAGCTGAACAAGAAAGCGGCATGGAAGACTCAAGTTCAACCCCCAGCACAAAAAGCTGGGTTTGGCCTCTTCAGTATATACAGCGGCAGATGTGGGAAGAAACAGGACTGTTCAGGCTTGCTTGTTGCCAATATAACCACAGGCTCAGTGAGACAGTGATTAACAGGGCGGGACCCCAACACCTTCCTCCAGCTCCCACATGTGTACCCACATTCACAGTACAGACTGGTACATTTCAGGGCCGGGAGTAAGGCTCAACAGCCTGTGTGCAGCCTGGGTTGACAGGGGAAAGCAAACTTGCTTTAATTTCAACTACATTTCCAAGCAAAAAGATGACAGGTAATCCACCCTGTCAGTTTCTCAGCCGACCTCAGGCAGAGTGGTCCCCAACCGCTACTATCATTTACGAGTGAGACTGTTCAGCGAATACACTGAGCAGTTATTATGTACCAGGCACTGGAGTTCAAAGGCCCAGAGAACCTTTGATCAAAGTTCCCATGTTCAAGGATCACACAGCAGAAAATGAAAAATGGTGAAAATAATTCAATTTTTTGTTTGTTGAGACAGGCCTCAACATATGGCCCTGGCTGCCCTGGAACTCACTCTGTAAACGAGGCTGACCTTGGACTCAGAGATCTACCTGCCTCTACCTCCCAGTGGTGAGATTAAAGCAGTACACCACCACACCTAGCCCAATAAAATCAAATCTTGTTTTCAGACAATGTCTCTCTATGTAGCTGTGGCTTCCCTGAAACTTGCTATGTAGACTAGGCTGACCTCAAGCTCTGCCTCCCAAGTGCTAGGATTCAAGGCACGTACCATCATGCCTGGCTAAATTCAACTCCTAAGCACATTTTTAAACTTGTAATTTCCATCTTGCTGTATATTTTAACAAACTAAATTTTTCACAACTGATCCTACATACTTAAAACATCAACTTCTACTAAATACAAGTACATCCGAAGTAAAATATGTCTCAAAAAAGCTAACGAACTTGATCTGCATTCACTTTTGGAGAACATGTATTTTAAGGAATAGGAGGTGGGAATGGTAGTATTCTAATATATGACAAAAGCCTACACTGAGATTTTCTTTACAAATAAAAGGAACTCCATCACCAAAACTAAGCAAACTTAAAAATTACTCAAGTATATATACACACACACACACACATACACACAAACACATATCTACACACACACACACATATACACACATACATACACACACATACACAAACACATATACACACAAATATATATATACATACACACATATATATATACACACAAACACATATACACACATACATACACACACATATATATACACACACATACACACACATATATATACACACATACACACACATATACACACACATATACACACATACATACACACACATATACACACATACACACATATATATACACACAAACACATATACACACATATATACACACACATATATATACACACACATACACACACACATATACACACATACATACACACACATACACAAACACATATACACACAAATATATATATATACATATACACACACACATACACACACATATACAAACACATATACACACAAATATATATATATACATACACACACACACACACATACACACATACACACACATATATACACACACACACATACACACACGCAAATATATATATATACACCTGTACACACACATACCTGTACACACACACACATACACACACATACATATACACACATATATACACACACACACATATATATGTATATATACACACGTATATATACACACACATACACACACACATATACACACACACACATATACACACACACACACACACACACACACATATATACAGCTTCAAACTTGGCAGTCTTTCCTGTTTCACTTCTGTAAGGGCTGGGGAAGATGTGTGGAAGAGGCCAGGAACGAGAAAACAGGCAGAAACCAGGACTCAATCCAGGTTCCATTGCAGGTTCTCTCCTTTTCCCAATGGATGTCCTAGTCACAACAGGTAACTGACAGCTAAACCCAGGGTTCCAGTGTAGCTGCCTCCTCCACCCCATGTATTCCTCCTCCTGCAGACAATGCTGTCACCATCCTCACTACCCAAAGAGAACAAACAGCTACCCACCTGTAGGACATGTCTGGCATCTGCTCTACTTAATCAGATCTGCACCCCCATGTCTCCTGGCCCTAATCAAATTAAAACCACACAATGCTGTCAACTGGGGCAGAAAATTTCTTTGCCAATCTTACTCTCCTGATTAAAAACTTAGGAGTTAGGGTTAGTACATGGATAACATGGGCAATGAGATAAAATAAACACCTTAGAATGATTACCCATTGTTTACCATACATAGCCTTAACTTTATAACCCAATAACTAAACCCCTCCATTTGTTCCACATCTAAGTCTTTTTTGTTTCTTTTTTCCGAGGCAAGGTTTCTCTATCTGTCCTGGAACTCACTCTGTAGACCAGGCTGGGCTTAACTCACACATCTGCCTGCATCTGCCTCCTGAGTGCTGGGATAATAGGTATGCACTACTGCTGTTTTTCTGCTTTAATTTTTGCTGCCTTTTAGTTAAGCTAGGCTATCTTACTCAGCAACTGTAATTCCACAGCTACCCCCAGCAGTTAGGCTGCAAGGGCTGAAGCCTGAGGCAGGCAACGACTCTTTTAAAGCTACTGAGGAAACTTATTTAAATCTCTGTCCTGCTAAAAAAAACCGGAAGATCCAACGGTTGGGGTAAAATCCTACTTCCCAGAAAAGCAAATTAAGAAACAGCTCCCCGAGCTCACTGCTTCTCATCTCCCAAGAAGTCTCACGTTTCTCTCGTCCCTCCTTATAAACCTTCTCCACCTGGCCCCTCCCTATAATTTCCAGTCGGCAACTCACTGACCCAACAGGTGAATTTTATTTAATCAAACACATCTTCTCATCATTAAACAAATGTTCCAGAGCATAAGCAAAAGTAACACACCCTAAAGTAATATTCCACAACATACCACCGCCGCCCAGCCCACATCTAACTTCTAAATCGTATTTCCTAATACTGTATTTCACATACCTCATGTTCTTTCCAAGATCAGGGTACGCCTCTCTAAGCTAGTCCTACTTCTGTGTTCATTTAGCCTGCCTCCACTGCAAAGGGCCCAATGGAAATGTTCTCCTACAAGCACACACTGCTTGAATTCCACCAGTCAAAGTCATCACCATGTTCTATGAATCCCCTAGTCTTCAGACTACAGCACTCTGGATTTCCTAGCCTGTATTCATGTTACTTATCTAGATCATAATCTCCTTCACTGTGGCTCTGAAAAGAGCTGGCTTGCCTAACACATTTACTTAAACAAAGATGGTCGTAGTGCATAATGTATTTATGAACAGGGAACGTAGCCATAAAAAAAAAAAAAAAAAAAACCACACACACACAAAAGACAATTCTCATTACCTCCTAGCAGAGACAGGGTAAAACAATTAAACAATAAAGGAACATTGGAAAGCAGTAAATGCTGTGCTGAAAAAATAAAGCACCTGGGGGGGGGGATAAAGAGCTGAGGGAGGAGGTCTTGACAGGTAACACTGAGAAGACTCGAAAGGGATGGAAAAGGAACAAATTAACAATGCGAATGAAAGCTCTGACATAAGAGCAGATATGCTGTTTTCTGGGACAGGAGAGACGACTATGGTTGATTCTAAGTGAGCAAAGTTAGTGATACCATAGTAGAGTAACGTTATGTGTCAGACCATGTGGGAGCCCCCTACAAGCAACACAGAGCTGAAAGACATGAAACACGCCTGCAATTCATTCATTTTGCCAGACCACAAATTATTTTTATCTACAGTCATCACAAACTTTATACAAGTGTTAACTTTAAATTTATTCACATGAAATTAGTACAACTAGGTATATACAAAATTGAATATGCAGCTGGGCACGTCTTAATCTGAATAGATGCTCAGTTCTACACTACACAAGTATGTACTACTCAGTTTGTCAAGTAGGGGCTTTTAAAACCCAGTACAAGCTTTACCAAGTATAATTTCCATGCTATACACTAATCTCACAACTTATTCTACATACCTGTTACTTTCATCCTGTGACCTAACCCTCTCTACCCCACCATGCCACTCTATAGAAGCTCTTATGCATATCACAACATATACTGACAAAACAAGTCACAGGGCAGATGAAGGTCTTCCTATTCTCTATAGAAAAAAGGGGTGCTACTTACTCATGTAAATCGTTTTATACCTTCAAAAGCAAGTGGAGTGATTTTATTTCCCTAGTAACACTCACTTCACATGGAACCAGAAGATAGCATTCCTTCTACTTTACAGCTACAGAAAGCGTATCTCACAATGTGGGTTCTCAGGACAAGGTCACTCAGGAAACTGACTCTACTACGCCCAGCTGCTCTATCATCTTAAAATTTTAGAGTTTTTTGGGTTTTTTTTTTTAATAAGATAGAAGGGGCTCCCTGAGGAGTCCAAGGTGGCTTTGATCTTGAAATAAATCCCCTTGTACCAGACTCCTGACTTGTGCCACCATATCTGGATCTAATAGTTCAGTTCTGAAGTCTTTACTTCTGCATGGTTTTTACTGCTATCTAAAGCTTTTAGTTGCCTTAACATTTAGCTCATTTTTCTTGTTGTGCATGCCAGCATGTAGGGTGGGGTGGATGTATCCCGTGTGAGACAACATCTGTAGAAAACACAGTTCCCTGGTGGTCAACCTCCACCTTATTTTTCCAGACAGGGTCTTCTCAACGCACCTGAAGCTTACCAATTCAACAAGACTAGCTGCACAGGTGATTGCAGATAAGCACTTTACCAGTTGAGCAATTTTAAATGCATACCTATAAACACCACAGAACCCAATCAGCAACCTCACTTAGCAACACTTGTTAGAAATCCAAGCTTTTAACTTACATGTAAGTTTAATGTGGTCTTCCTTTTTAAGAGCAGAGACGATTTATTCATCCTCATTTTCTTGGAAATGCGATCCTTTATTCCCATTTGAAGCGTTTGACCACGGCAGAGTAGTTCCACCCTGCAAAGAAAATATAAAGGTAGGTGAAAGGGCTGCAAATTACTAAACACTTTAAAAAAAATAAAAATAAAAAATAGTCACTGGCGTCCGTGTTCCTTTCATTACTGTAAAAACCGCAGCTGACTAATTTAAAGACCTCTGCTCTCGGACTTCCTCTTTTTTAACTTTGAAAGTACTGAATGGGCACACATGACATAGAGTAATATCACGAAACGCGAGGAGGTAGGACACAGCCCTAAACTAAACGCCTTGCTTGGCATTATAGTAAACAAATGAAAGAGGCACGGTCCCAAAACCTCGCGTTTTGTGTAGTAACTGCGTGCAACGGGAGAGACTCATCCATCGACCCTACGAAGCGCGACGGGGAATCACAACAACCATGACCACCAAAAGGTCACGGCGGGCTGCAAACCATCTTAAAAAAAAAAAACAAAAACAAAAACCTCAGGAAGGCAAGTGGAACTGACGCGCAGAAACCAACTTGTGGACAGGGGCCGGCCCGCCGGACTTCCGCCGGATTGAATGGCAACCCGGGTCCCCCGGGCTTCCTTCCTCACCGCGGATCGCTGAGTAGGGAAGCCGCGTCCAGCTCAGCGCCAGCGGAGCCGAGCGGAGCCGAGCGGAAAGTGGCCCCGGGGCCTCCGTCCTCCTCCTCCTCCAAGCCCGAGGCCGCCGCCCGCAGCTCGGCCCTGGAGCCCCGGGAGCCCGGGAGCCCGGGAGCCCGGAGCCGCCTTAGCGCGGGCGCGGGCCGGCGGGAGACCCGGGGCCCGCCCGCACCCCACGCAGGCACGGCACCGCTCGAGCGCACGGCCGCGGCCGCCGCCGCCGCCGCCGCCGCCTCCACGGGAGAAGCCGGCGAGGCAGAGCCTACCTCGGGCACGCAGCCTTCGGCGGCCGAGCCGCCCGCGCCGGAGCTAGCAGTCGCCGAGGAGCCGGGCGCGGCGTAGTGACGTAAGAGGCGCGCGCCCGGGGGCGGGCCCAGCTCGAGCCACGCCCCCTAGCTCGCCCAGCCACGCCCTCCGCCCGGGCAACGACGTGGATGGGTGGGTGGATGGATGGATGGATGGATGGATGGGTGGGTGGAGGAGGCTGCTGCTGCTGCTATTGCAGCTGGAGTGGATTATATCCACCGAGTGATCGAAATACAAAAAGAAAAGCAAAACGAGCCCCGTGCGTGCGTGCGCGCCTCGTGTTTAAGATACTAAACTGCGATTTCCCGGCAGCGTCCACGAAGCAGGACCCTCGGTTTGACCGCGAAAGGGCGGAAGTGGGGTGGGGGCAAAGGTGCATTTCCAGGGAAAGAGAGGGCAAGGGGTTGATTTGGTAGGGTTTGAGATTTGATAGAGCTTGTGGAGGAACTCTGTGTGATTCGTTAACGGCCCGTCTTGCTACACTCGGACAGTTTTTTTGTTTTTGTTTTTTCACGAGGTGCACAGGCAGCCCAGTACGAGGCTTTCCTCTGCTGCTTCTGCATTGAAAAATTCATTTTGAGGCCCGCCGAAGTCCTTGCTTGTAGGTGTCGTCATGAATGCGTTACTCCGGGTTGTGACTACCGTCGAGGACACTTTGTTGGGGGTGTGTTTGGGGGAGGGAAGGGGTCCTTGTAAAATGAATTATATCCTAATTTGAAACACAAGAACAGCAAATGTAGTTTTACTGTTTACTGCCCTAATGCCCTGGGAGTGGTGTTTTGAGACCCAGCTGGAGTGACTGGGCAACTAACAAAAACTTGTGCTCTGCTGTGGACTTGACAACCGTTCACCCGAGTATCTTAGGACTCACTGAGGATGTATTTTTGCACAATTCTTTGTTCAGATAATTTCTAGATGAAGTATAAGGTAGAGAGAACCATAATGGGCAAGTTGGACTTTGATGGTCTGGTCGATTTGTGAGGAATGGCTCCAGCCTTCTCCACTTTTCCATGTGACCACACATTTTACAGTGACTGCATCCCCACTCTCCCTGAGTGTCTGCATTGGCCCAGGAGTAGTGCAGTAAAGAAAAACGCCCCTATTAGAATGAACATTGTTAAGAAGCCCGGAATTATAGGCAGAAGGGGAACAATTTAGAATTAGATCAGAAACGAAGCTCCCCCTGACTTCCTGTAACTCATAATTGCAGGGAAGGGTCCGGTGGGTCCACATCAGCAAAACTGCCCCCACTGACCTATAGACATGCAAGGAAGAATAAATGATTATGGTCTCATTTTGGTTTGAATTGATGGGCAGCAATGACTAACTGATAGCAATGACAACAGACACCTACAGAGGGCAGGTTTTCAGCATGGAAATACTCAGACTCATTTGAACAGACGTGTGTAGGATCAGCGTTGTAATTTAACCAAAATAAAGAGTTGACTTGTGGCACCTTTTTTTTTTAACCACCGTCCTAATCCTATATGTAGCTCTGTCTCCGCTATCTGCTGTCATAATTGTAACCCTAAACTACTCTCACATTCATTATCTGACCCTCCTAATGAACACTCTCGAATCGCACAGTGGAGTGGTGTGTGTGTGTTTGTGTGTGTGTGTGTGTGTGTGTGTGTGTGTGTGTACATGCAACCTACGAGTGTCTACTTAGTATAATGCAGGCTCTTTAAATGCACAAGTCATTTTTCCAGTGCATAATGTTCCATATTTTATATTTTGTGAATGTACAGACAGTGATCATGGGATACTTTTAATGTTTTAAAGTATAATTTTCCTAGGCCCTTAAGAGGCAGAAAGAAGATTGCCACAAGTTCAAGACTAACCTGAGCTATATACACAGTTTCAGAGTAGCCGAGCTATGGTGCTTCCAAAAGAAAACAGCAAAAGAAAAAAATAAAATTGTAATTCTACATGTTGTTGATAGAAAATAGGTTGACAGCTTCTGCAAAAGTTAAATATAGTAGCTGGGTGGTGTTATACCCTTTTAATTCCAGCACTCAGGAGGCAAAGGTAGGCAGATCTCTCTAAGTTCTAGGACAGCCAGGTCTATACCAAGAAACTCTGTCTTGGGGGAAAAAAATACACACACACACATATACACAAGGGTGGTAGAAGATATCTTTTTTTGTTTCCTGTTTTTTTGTTTTGTTTTTGTGTTTTGTTTTCAAAAGGGTTTCTCTGTAGCTTTGGGGCCTGTCCTGGAACTTGCTCTGTAGATCAGCCTGGCCTTGAACTCAGCCCCCCCGAATGCTGGGATTAAATGTTGTGCCACCACCACCAGGCCCAGCAGATGCCTTTGATGCCCAGCACTCAGAAGACACATGCAGAGGGATTTACACAAAAAGTTCCAGGACAGCCAGGGCTACATAGAGAGACCTTGTCTTAAAAATTAAAGAAAAAAAACTAAATCCAATTATGTGACCCAGCAGTTTGGGGTATTTATCAAAGAGAAATGACAGCATATAAGCATGAGAGAATGTAAATGAACACTCTACAACAACTAGACTTGCAGTAACAGCAAACCTGGATATATTTCAAATGGCCAAATACGAACAGATCCATAAACAATCCCATATCTTTATGATGGGAAACTTAACAGTAATAAAATGGAATGGACGGTTGGAGCATGCTATAGCATGACTGAGTCTCTGCTAAGGGAAAGCCAGTCTCCTCTTGCACATAAAGTATCTGGCCAAGAGAACAGACTTGCATAAAATTCTGGTAACTATCGCATAATGGCAGAAAGCGGTGGCTTGGGAGGGGAGGGGCAAGAAAAGCCAGGAGGTTTCAAGGTATCAAAAGGAAACTGGAATGATGGCTGTTTTCAGTTTTCCTCATGATGCCTTCATCATGTGTGTTACATGTGATCTATATGATTATAATTTGTGTGCCAGGTATACCCCCCAATAAAGCAATTAGATCTTGCCATTGCTGCAAAAACATTCAAGACTATTAAAGTGGTTTCTGTTGTTGTTGTTGTGTGTTTTGAGATAGCTCTTCACTAGGGAGCTGTGGGTGGCCTTGAACTCACAGCGATCCATCTGCCTCCACCTGCAGAGCTCTAGGATTAAAGGTGTGCACTGCCATGACTAGACTCTAAAGCAGCTTTCTTGTGTACGTTTTGGTTGTATTACCACACAAGTACAAACAAATTGTCTTCTGCACAGGCAACACCTCTTGCTAGAGTTGCCCTTCCTACGTGCCTCACTTGGTGAAATGGTAGGAAGAATGCCTGCAGCCCAGGAGAGCAGCTCCCCGGACTGCAAACGGGGTAGCAGAGTGCCCTCAGAGTAGCGGGACATAGGAAATATTTTTTCCTGAGGGTCTTTAGGAAAGGACTCATGAGTTCTGAGGGTAACAAAGGAAAAAGCACACGTTTTCCTGATAGTTACCTTCTCTTTTACTTCATCTTGAAAAACCTCTTCACCTGACACAGTTACATCCACCCACGTCTCTGTGTTGCACAGTTGTATACATATTTCCTCTGTCCACTCTGCTGCATTTCTTCACATGCAGCCACATCTCTCTTCTATGTCATTCACTCACCCAGTCACACACTCCTTCTGAGAACAAACTCTGGACAATATATAAATTACATTCGCAGGGCCACATAGCGTTTCTTGAATAAGCAATACAAAACAGAGCCATACTGATACACAAGGAATCACACAGTTCCTCTCAGGCTTTGGATGTCACGCTGACCGGCTGGAAACGAGTAACCATGGCAACATTTGGCTGTCCAGGCATGGCCTGTGACGTAGCCTGAGAGACATCATGGAGAGTGACGCTGAAACTCAGGACCTAAGCAATGAACAGTTAGTGAGTTGGCTGGACCTTGAGCCTTACATCGTCAGAATGAGGTTAGGAGTATGTGCACAAAGTTGCTGCAGGGAGTTGTTTCTTAATGATATCAGCCTGACCTCGGTTCAACAAGCCCACACCTGGGGGCTTGCCCTTGTGCATATTTTGCAGGGTCAATTGGTCTGCTTTGAATTTGTTTTTGAGATCTAAAATCAGCTAATGGTGTAAAACATCGTCTTTGTAACTGAGAAGACTACTGTTATTTTTCTATGTCAGTCTGAGCTGTGAAAAATATCCTAGTATTATTTCTTTTCATATATATGCAGACAGTGGGGGAAATACCCATAACTGTTTTTTATAGTAGGAGTGTGGTGGTCCGTGAGAAAGCTTACAGACAGAAACGGCCAGTTTTCAGAGTCTGAGGCCCTGTGAGCCTTGCTTGATGAGGTTTTCTCCGCCGGAGAGTTATTCATCTGGTAGGTTGACACGTGAGTTGTCATCTGTTGTATTTACGTCATGGCCCATGACACATGCACCCTCAGCAATGTCCCTCTTACTGAACATTATTATGCAGACACAGCTAAGCATCTTAAAATGGAAAGTTGACTCGGAATCTTCCTAGTTGGACCCAACATCAAAAAGGTCTAAGAGGAGGGAGGCTAAGACTGACAAGAGCCGGGTAATGTGCTACATCAATAAATGAATGGTCGCAGATGAAGGACATAGGCAGGAATAACAGAGATATGCTCTAATATCTGAAAAGGGGCAAGGGATGAGTACTCTCGGAGCCTTCAAAAGTATGTAATCCGTCCATACCCAGAGTAAAACCTGAATTCAACTTTCAATTCAAGAGCACAGTAACCGGCCTGCGTTACTAGAAAAGTCCAAATCTGTGGTAGTTGAGAAAAGTCATAGTACCGAAGGGGTGAAAAAAAGGCAAATTATGGGGAAGAGAAGATGCAAGATCCCTAGATACCTTAACTAACTATAAAAGGGTACAATTTTGTGCCTAACCAACTCAGTTGGACCCTTCCTCTACCCGGTCCATCATTAATTACTTAAATTGGTTGTGCCCTGTTACTTGCTTGCCTTGCCACCCATCAACATAACCCCACTGCCACTCTGGAGCCTTTTTCATGTCCTTGGCTGAAAAACCTCTCTGTTGTAGAATATCACTTTAACCGG